GAGGGGGGGGGGGTACTCTTATGTTTTGCATGCCTTAGCGGTTAGACCATTGACCACGCGTCCTCGAGAGGACGGAGCATTGTTCCCACAGCATCGATCACCGATGGCCAATCGTTCCTTCCTACTTTGCCAAAGGTGGCTCAAAAATGTCTTCCCTAGTCTGTCTATCCTAACGATATCCCTTCCCGCCTTTTCAGTACACTTCCTACTCCCCAGTACAGCTACCGTCCTCTCCTCTCTATTCCATGCCTCAAACATCTCCCTGTACGTCCCTTGCATTTTCCCCAGCTCAGTCATGTACACTTCCCTCTCCGCTTCGTACCACGGACATTCCGCGACTACATGAACACGGTCTTCGCATTCGAAGCCGAAATCACATTTGAACTTGTGGTCTTCGTCGTCTACCGTCCTATGTCTTCGTCGACGTTCTCGAAGGCCCATGTCCCCGGTCCTGAATTTGACCTAAAGCTGTGTCCCTGCATCCATTGGTCCATGTAGGTAATCCTTGAACCCTATTCCTTCTTTCAACATTCCGTACACTTCTAGACCCTCCTTATCCTTGGTTTCTTTCCTTAGATTATGTTCTTCTCTCTCGGCACAAGCAACAGATACCTTCTCCTTGAATCCCTGAAGACCCTCCGTTTCCAGCGTTTCATCTTCGTCGATTTCGAACCCCTTCCACACGTCCTCTACAACCTTGACCCATTCCGTGGGTTGTCTACCCCTCTTTTTGTTTGCCCACTTCGCCTCCCATACTATTCTCGGCAACCACTCCTCTCCCATCCCGCACATGCGATACTGCCATGTCAGTTTCCTTGCGTCTCTTCCCGACCGTAGGGATTGGATCCCCAATTCTGCCCTTACGGCTGGATTACTTGTGCGCTTGGAGCATCCTAGGATGATTTTCGCTGCTTCCATCTGCGCCGCCTCGAGTTCTTTCACTACCTTCCTTATTTCCTTCCCATACTTCTCCGGCGTACTCTAGCTGCGGTACGATTACGCTCTTCAAAAACCGCCAATTTGATGCGTGTATCGAGGTACCGGTTTGCGAGTATTGGGTGCAGCTTCCCTGCTCGTGCTTTGCCCTTTTTTTCGGGGGGGGGGGGGGTTACGCAGAGGGATGGCCGAGGGGAGTACGAGGCAGCACCGTGCAGGAGGATGGTCGAGGCGCGCGGTTGTCTGTAAAACTAATCTTCAGCCTGTTTCGGCGTGCCCGCCGTTCCGCGATTCGATTCGATTGGACGGGGACAAGGGGCTGCGTGCGGTAGGGTGGTCGAGGCGCGGTTGTCTAGAATTTCCTAATTTTCTTCGTCTGTTTCGACGCCGGAATAATGCATCGGCCATCCAACAGATTCTCCGTGTCACGTCGGCCGGCGGTGTACCTTCCTCTAAGGGTCAACCATACCCACCTTCGCACTACCTACAAAATGAAAAATTCGCTCACACGCACTCAGATCTGCCCCCCCTCCCTCCCCTCGACCTCAAGACCTCGAGGACTCGTGGTCAACAAAAGGCATGCAAAATATGAGTACGCCCCCCCCCCCCCCTGAGCCTGGTCCGGTGGGAACCTGGCTTGCTCCGTCCCGGCTTTGTAGGGATGCGAGGTCAATGGTCTACCGCCTACGGCATGCACGACTATGAGTAACGCACCCACCCCCACCCACCCCTGCCCCGACCTACCCCCACCTCACCCTTTGTTGATCTCTTCGAAGAGTTCGTCCGCGGACTGCAGCCCAGCCACCGCCTCGTCGGGGTCCCCGCCAGTCTCCTTCGCCACCCGCTTGGCCTCGTCCCAGTCCTGCCGCAGCCGCGCTCGCATCAGCTCGGCCACCTTCCGGAAAGCGGCAAGCGGCAAGCATAACCCCAACCGGATCGGGGATCTGTTAGAGGGGGCGCAGACGTATTTTTTAGGTAGATACCGCCAGCGACGGTTTTAATATTCTCTCTTTGAATACATAATTGAGGGTAACGGGAAACACTATGTTCGACAATATAAGGTCCATTTCGGAAAAAATCGCGACTATGCACAAGGCCCTTTATTTCCGAACAGAGCGGTATGTTGGAAGCGTGGGGTCCATGTTTCAGGGGAGAAAACCTGCCGACCCTCGGTAGCGGTGAAAATCTACCTCGACCGTGGGGGATCTTCCGGAACGTCACCTACGGAGCCCCCTCAGTCCTAACGTCCGTGCCGTCAATAGAACGGGGAGGCAAAGAACACAGAAAAACCGACCTGAAGAGACCATAGCCGTGGCCACGCGAGGCACACAAAACAACAACACACACGCCCATACAGACAAAAACCTACCGGTATGAAAGGAAAAAAAAAAGTTGTCAAGACGAAAAGAAAAACGAGACAAAAAAAAAAAGTAACGAACAAAATGACACACTTTTTCGACGGACGGTTACAGAGAGGACGGCAGAGAAATGCCTTCCGCGGTCTACCAAAAATGAGTGTGGCTACTCTTCACCTCTAGAGTCCGCACGAGCAAGGCAGGATCCTGCATTGCCAGCTCCAGACAACCCCCACCAATCCATCGCCCGTACTGGTCGGTCTGCGAAGGGGCGCGGGGGGGCGGGGGGGCCGCGAAAAGGGCAGGAAGGTGAGCGGTTATGCCTACACCCCTCTGCCGAATCTCTCCACCAACTCCCCACGGGAAACGGACTTCCTTCGCCTGCTTTATCCTACCATCCGACGACCCCCCGATCTCTAGACGGGGGGAGACGAACGAGGGTAGCCGACCCCCCCCCCCCCCCCCTCGTTGATGAAGTGCAAGCCTGGGCCCCCGAGAACCCGGGGTGCTCCCTCCCGGTTTTGTAACTATGCCAGGG